TTTTGTCTTCTTCTGCTCGGCCTCCAGTACCCGACACTTCTACCACTACTTGAGTGGTACCGGCCTACCTGCTACTTTAGCCTTTTTCCCCTGCTCTAGGTGTTGCGGGCTTACCCCCGCTACTTGAGTGTTTTCCCCGCTGCAACCCTCAAAGTCACGGCCACAGGTAAGTACCGGCCCTGCGGGGCCTTTCAACCAACAAGTACCCTTGCAGGTCACACACACACTCAGCCGACAAGCACTCAGACAGGCACGCAAACCAGCAGGCATGCACACACACACACAGACTTAGAAATCACAGCAGAATGCGGGAATCCCAGTAAGGCATTCATTCCAGCGGCAAATCTCAGAAATCAGCATTGTTCTCAGTGTGTGTTTTGGCGGGTCATTACAAAAGTCACAGTCCGGTACCTTAGCAGTCAAGTCCAACAGGCATCCGGCAAACAGTCACATCCCAGGGGCAAAAACCAAGCCTCATAATGAAAAGTCATATAGGAAAGTCACATCTCACGGGCAAAGGACACTTCCACAGGCAAAAGTCGTGTCCCAGAGGCAGGAGTCACAAACCACAGTCAAAAGCCATGTGCCATAATCGAAAAGTCGTGACTCACAGGCCCAAGAAGCAGCACACCAATGAAAATTCCGGAAAAGCATGAGGGCCTGACATTCGAAAACAAACAGGCCGTGGGGATGTGGTACCGGAACCAAGTCAAGCCCCAAGAAGCAGAGGCTGGCACGAGTTGAAGTTCGGTCCAAGACAATATAAGGACTGGCCAGCCTCCTGGAGATTGCTCATTCGCATTAAGTGTGGAAGTGCTGGTGCGCTTGTGCGCTCTTGTGAGGGGCGGAGCGCTGAGCCAGGGAGCTGCGCTAGTAGAGGGAGAGAGAGGGAGCAGCGATAGCTGCTCAGCGCTGGCGGAGGGAAGGCAACGATAGCTGCGCCAGGGAGCTGCGCTAGTAGAGGGAGAGAGAGGGAGCAGCAATAGCTGCTCAGCGCTGGCAGAGGGAAGGCAGCCATAGCTGCGCCAGTGCTAGGAGTTAGTAGTAGACCTCCAGGGGGTTAATAGAGTTAGCAGTGGGTGTATTCAGAGCTGGTCCTTGAGTGGTAGAAGGTGTGAGTGCATGCAAGTAGGGAGAGAAGACACAGGGAGGTAGTAGACACAGAGAAGACCGAGAAAGAAGAGAGAAGAGCTTCGGGAGAGATACTTACCTGTGTGGAGATACTGGATACTTGGGCTTGCGCTGTTGACCGCCTGTGACTGAAACTCTTAATTGCTTGTATAATAATTTGTTGGAACTCTAAAGCTGCGCTTACCTTGTCTTAGTTTCTCTGGCCTCCAATGTGAACTTCGTGTGAACTCTTTCGTGCATGGTGTGTGATTGTGTGCACTCGTTGGTGTTGAACTGAGAGGTTCATTGCAAAATAGCACTATCGGGCCTGGGCGCGCACTATCGGCCGCGGGCGTTTCACGTTAACGCACCAGTGGTTGCGGGCTTCGGGGCACCAAACCGCAATGGCTGGAAGCGCCAGCCAAAATGAAAACAAAACCGTGCCCGGCGGCTCGACAAAACTTGGCGCGAAGCGGGCATCGCGGCTCGGCATCGATAGCTGGGCCAAGTACTGGGCGGCTTAAGCTTGGGCGCGCATTAAAATATCAATACCTCGCATGGGCGAGCAACAAAAACAGTGAAGTCCCAAATATGGGAGAAACGTTGCCCAATTATCACTAAATACTAGTGGGAACATTGGCCATCGTCACCGTTCTGAGTGTGAACATAGTCCGGCAACACAGTCCAGCGTTTGCCTCTGTTGCAGCAGGCTGTCATGTACATCAGAAAGTCTCAGGAGGCAATGATTGCCTCTGAGAACAAACACAGATGGCAGTCCACATTTCAGGTAGGGGAACGTGTCTGGGTATAGCGAACTTGGTCAAGAATTCGGTATCTCTAGAAAGCTAATGCCACAGTATATCGGTCCTTGGGAAGTCCTAGATATTGTGGGTAGTGATCTGGATGGTCCCTCGTACGTCATAATAATCCCTGGTCATCTGCGCACTTACCCTGTATTTCACGCTTCAAAGCTTGCACCGTTCGCTGAGACTGATATGTTCCCATCACGAAGGTCAATGCTGGCCCCAACCATGGATGGCCACGTGGACATCGACAACATTTTGGAACATAGAGACTTGCCTGTGCCCAAGCCTGTTGGCAGGGGAAGACCGCCCAAACCTATGAGGGAGTACCGGGTCAGGTTCGGACATCATACAGATCCAAAAGAAGATTGTTGGTTCACAAGACAGGAGATTGTCAAGACAACACCTCAGATCGTGGCTGCGTACGAACGAAGACTGAAGGGCAAGGCACCTCAGCAGACTTTCAAAACTAAGGGGGATGGAATGCGAGGAATGAGCCTCGCAGAGCCCTTATCAGACATAGAAGTGTTATGGGTTGTCGCCCCCAGCAAGGCCCGTGCCCGCCCTAAGTGACAGCGGGTCTGAATATCCACGTGAGGCCTGTTTTCGACAATTTTCCATATGTGGGTACTCCGACAGTTGCAGCACGCCAGTTGGTTACAGACCAATGTGAGCCTCCAGGCTCTTTCCAGAAGCAAAGGGCTGTGCTGCACAGTTGAGCGCTGGTGGCTGCGCCCTAGGCACACAGTGTGTGAGGCCGACACATCCCGGACTGGTTACAGGCCAATGAGAAAGCAGCATTGTCGTCACACATGAGCCGCGAGCCAATGAGAATGCTGCGAACACTTGGAGGCTGGGTGGCTGCCTGGACGTGCCTAACCGCATGAGGCCCAATCCAGTTTCGGAAAATGGGCCTGGGCGCAGAACCTGGGGCCCAATTGAAGCTACTGGGACCCCCACACGCCTGGCGAGGACAGCCAGCAGCGGCATACTTTCCATAAAGGAAAGTGTGAGCCCCTGGGAGGGGCATTCTGACCTTGGCAGGCAATGCAGACACGCTGCTAGGTTGCTACGGTAGTTTCTGCATCGGCGCTGCGGGTCGGGCGCTGAGGTGAGAGGGGCGCTGCAAGGCCACGGGCGCTCAGCAGCCATAGCCAGGCTGCAGGGGCGCAATGCAGGTGATAGTGATGATGGTCTTCGGGTAGGAAGCTCATGAAGAGTGGATCCAAGGAGCGATGAGGGGAGGAGAGAGAACGTACCTGGTGTATGCTGGTGGTCGGCATTGGTGTTGACATCACGTAAATTGGTCTTCAACTTCGAAGTGATCCAGTTGCAAGAACGTAGATAGGCTAGATAGCCTGAGTAGGATAGGCTGGGCGCTGGGCACCCGACAGTAAGTGCAACATTGGATACAGTGTTGGTGTGAACAGAGATTGGCATTGTATTGCTCTTATTTGGACGGTATCTTGATACATTAACTCTCTGCTTGGTTCATGACAATCTGAGCTACTTCGTGATTTTGCAACCTGGATTTCTGTCGTTCGCTCAATGCTGATTTGGTACATTAACTCTCTATCTTGGTACGCTCATATTCCTTGCACTTTGTTTTCGATGTTTAAAAATTCCTGCAGGTTGTGGCCAGAACTTGTCACCCCGCGGCTGCTGCCCGGTCGCGGTCCCGACCGTCGGTCCCGGGAAGGCCCCCAATCATGAGCAGGGGTATTCATAGCGCTAAGCTGTGGCACCAGGTGCTGTAAAATACCCTCCTTGACTGCCCATCAGCATCACTCGATGCTTGATAACGCAAGATGCAGCAAGCTCGAATGGAATTGTGTTGATGATTTGCTGCAGCGGGACTTTTGGATTGGTCAGCCTTCGATGCATCTGGAAGTTTCAGTAGCTTCCGTGACACTGAGCTGCCTACTGGACTGCTCATATCGACTCGACTGACGGCCTACTGGACCTATCAGCCTACCCGACCTACGACCTAGACTTAGCAGGCCCACCTTCAGGGCACTATAGTACATGGGACTGTGGATCTTTGGAACTGGGACTGGAACTTGGACACCGAGGCACCTGAAATTCTTCAATTGGTGCAAGAGGCTCTTGCACGCCTTGCCATGCTCTCCATTTTTTTTTTTTTTTTCTAATGCTCTCCGTTTTTTTTAACTTTTTACTTTCTTTCTTTTTTTTTTTGATTTTTCGTCCTCACCTCAAGAACCCCCTATACCAACTGTTGCTACGGGGCTCCGGAGCTACACACTGGAAGAGGCTACGGTCGGTGGTGGACGACCCTGCCAACAACAGCCCACTTACGAGGCATGGTGGGCAACCACGAATTCACTTAGCAATTCGACATCAATATCAGGCAAAATCACAGAGAAAAGCAGATCCAAGCTAGGAAGATTTTCATGACCGGCTGGTCACTCGGGCGTGACGCCCGGGGGGGTCTGATGCCCAGGTGACCGGATCATGGCAAAAAAAAACAAAAAAAAAAAACAAATTGGCAGTGGAGTTTTTCTGCGCTCTCCGAGAGGAGCCCAAATCCGGGCTCTTTTCTTTTTTTGAGTGTTGGCTGTCAAGGGCGGAAAGGGGAGTGTAAATGAATTTTAAAGGGGCTAAACTTCCCGCTAAAGGGATTTAAAAGGGGGTGCCTTAGTGTGATATGGTTATTTTCTTTTTTATCTTCTAGTACTGTGAGGAATTCTGATGTGACCCTCAGCCAAAAGTTGTTTGTTTTGCAATTCTACACAACATAATTTTTTTTCAGATTTTTTTGGATTYKWTTTTTTTTTTTTTTTTTTTTTTTTTTAATTYTTTTTTTGCGCTGGGGCTGCCCGGGGCCATGCCCGGGGGTCATGCCCGGCCGGTCATGCGGTCGCCAATCCGGGCGTGAAATCGGGACCCGTGCGCCCGGGATATCTCCATAGGATCCAAGCTCATTTTCCTGAGTGATTTGCGAAGACCGCATTTCACCTATTTTGGTTTATCAAGGTGCCCAACTAGAATGGTCACTTTTATTCCATAAATTCTTTGCAAATCAAAGGCTTTCCCACTCACAAGCAAGATGAGAGTCAATGCACTAACCTCATCCCTCCGTGCACATCTTGTATCACCCGGCTGTTGATACTTCTTCACAATTCCTGAATCCACATCGCCACCACTGCAAAATGTGCTGGCATTCGACAATGCAGGCTTTCCTTTCCTTCGAGAACGGTGCTTTTGTTTCTTAGCTGATGCGTTTGACACAAGCTCCAAGTCATCCTCTTCAAGGTCATTGGCACTGCCCCAAGGTGGGGAATCTGTCCCACTGAAACGCCCAATTTTCAAACCACCAACCACAGGATCAGCCCCTGCCTCAAGATAGTCCAGTTCAGCCAGGAGCTCATCTTTTCTGCCAACTTTCTCCAATTGTTGTGCATCAAGCACCATTCCTTTCGCTTGGCGAATCTCCAGAACCTCAATTTGCTGCAGTTTACGGCGCACAGTTCGCAACTGCTTTGATATGGCATTAGGTGTACCATCATATTGGTGAAGGAAGGCAAGAGCAGCTCCTTGGCTCTGTGGCCATTCTGAGACAGAACGATCACTCGACACAAGTGCACCAGCCCATGATTGCATAGCAGAAGAAGGCCCACACTCCGCGCCAGCATCATCCTCATCGAGAACCAGGGAGGAAAGGGGAACGCCACTCGGTTTTGGAACACGCCGATTCAGCCACTTATCAGAAGCAGTGGTATAGTCAGCAAGCACTCTCTCCAGGTCTGCCAAAATAGATAGCCTAGCTTGACCCCACATAGGTGCTGAGATAGACAAAACATAGTCCAGGTTCTTCAAGACCAACATCTGCAAAAAAGAGAAATAAATGCAGCAGCCACAAATCATTATTGATCCCCCAGGGAAGCACAGGATGAGCACGAGCCAGTAAAATGAGCATAGCCATCCTCATGTAAGAGACTTGAATGAAATCAGTACTTTGTGCTTTAATAGGTCAGTCAAACTCTACTGCCATTAGAAATCTTATGTGAGCTGACACTGATGGAGAAGAAACCATGCCCAAAGAAGAGGAGATTAAAAGGCTCTTGCTAAAATCGGTAGTTGTTTACATTGAGAGTTAAGAAATAGTGTGGAGACCCAATGTTACAATTTTCACGAATCTCAAATATTCGCATCCGTCGCCACACACTTGATTGAGATGGAATCATGCTTGATCGAAAGCTTGCTGAAAATCGAAATTGCACATGCGCACTTGGCTACTTCATATAACAGAGAAACTTGTATGTCCACAGGCGGGCCCAGCTGCCCTGAGCACACAGCCTCAATTGGAACAGAACAGCTGGGTCATGATGGCTGCCCCCACTCTCCCTTTAGAAGAGCTGCTTCCCAGCCCAGACCTGCTGGCTCGAAAAGGGCCTACTTCAAACTCAGCCAATAGAGAGCTTCTAGGTTCAAAACTCACAAAGCTTCAAAACAGGTCCTGATCCTGCCACATTCACAATGCAAAACTCTAACTTTGAGACAATGCAAAGACTTGCTGAACTCGAGAAGAACTGGAAAGAGACAGAGCAGAATACAATGAAGAAGCTTAGAAGAAGAAAACAAGAAATACTCTGCTCTTCTCTCCCAAACTTTATTTTCTTCAACCTCCTCCTCCTCTTCTGATAAACAATTAGAATCTAAATACAACAAGGGGATGCCCGCCGCAGATGCGGCGGGGACCATGAGGGGGGGAATAAAAGGCGGGAAAAAAAGAACACACATTGGAATGAATCTTGCCACTTTGTAGCGGAAGATTCGTTCCAATTTTGTTCTGGTGCGTTGGTCATCCAATCCATGGAAAACTCTCTCTCTCTCTCTCTCTCTCTCTCTCTCTCTC